TTTCGTTTTAGATTGCCCTTCTCTGTTTTAATGAGATCTCTGGCTTGGGAGGTCTGTCTCAGGTGCTGGGGAGATGGTGCTGCACACAGCCTGCCTCCCGCCCCTCCTGCCCCTATGCTCCACAGGCAGGCGCTCTGGGCTCTGCCAAGACTGCTTGGAAGGAGTTCATACAAACCGAGGAGAGCCACATCCTCTGTCACCAGGGAACAGCTGCTCAGCCTTAGCACTTGAAGAGATGTTGACAGCTTTAGTGTTTCCAGAAGCAGTTTCAGGTTGCCACCAACACACTTATTCCAAGAAAGGTTGACTATTTCCAGAGCAGGGAAGTGAATGGAGGCTTCAGCTAAAAGTAATAATGGACAATGACAAGAATAACTTAGACTTCCTTGAGTTGTGGAAAGTGGCCAGGGCAACATATTAATATAAGAAAGGTTGAGAGCCTTGTAGAGTCTCTTTTTCTCCTGCCTGAGATTCATGGCATCAAATTATGTTGACTATCTGTACTTAGGGAACTACTGGAAACTTTAGAATATTAAGACTTGATTAAATGGAATTCACTATTGACTGGGTTTCTCTTCTTTGCTTGGTGTTTAGGAAACAGAAAGAAGCAAGGTGCTTAGACAGTAGTAAATATTTTCAGAGTGTCCCTTGGTTGGTACTAGTCCATTGTGTGGTCACTGCTGAAATTCAGATGAGGTCAAGCCTCTCTGAGACTCTAGAATACTGAGAGATATTTGTGTTTACTTCATGGAATTAATGAGGCAAGGAAGGGGACTAATGTATTTTGCAAAGATTTTTAAATTGAAAGATTTTCTGCTTAATTCTCAGTTGACCTTCACAGTTAAAATTAAGCAGAACAACTCATTCCCAAGCATAGTATACACACTTTACTCTGCTTTCTTTCTGAAGAATAATATGTGTCCAAGCAGGAAGTATCTACTCTTTTGTAATATCTAATAAGAAACCTCTTCTACTCACAGTACAGAGACCTATAATAAGAGAGAAACCAAACCTTTTCTTTCTCTTATAGAAGTGATATAGAATATTATCTGTGTATTGATCTGCTTAATTTCAATTGAATAGTTGAGTTGTGTTAGATGATATAATTTAGTATAATAGCTACTTGATTGTACAGCTAGAATAAGAGCCATGTCTTCTCATGGTTACAAAAGTATTCAACTTTTCCCAACTGGGAAATATATTTGTGAAACATCATGTTGTCCCCAAATTTATTTTTTTGTGGACCATTCCTAAGTGAACATTTGTCTGAGCAGTGAAAAGTGTCCTTCATGTCTTTATGTGTTTACCTAACTATTGGATGAATTATAGACACCTTTGAGAAGTTTGTTTACCTACTTAACTCATTTGTAGATAATACTTAAATTTTGATTCAGGTTTGCAATAAAGAATAAACACAATCCCTGCCCTCAAAGAGGTTATAATCTAAGGGAAATATTGACATTAAAAGCACAAATAAGCACATAATTACAAATTCTGACACAGGGTATTAATCACTTTTGTCATCGCTGTGACCGAATACCTGACAGAAACAACTTCAGCAAGGAAAGATTTCTTTTGGCTCATGATTTCAGAGGGTTTAGTCCCTGGTTGGTAGGCCACATGCACTTGGGCAGAAGATCATGGCAGTGGGAGGAGGTTCTTCAACTTATGGAGAACAGTAAGCAGAGAGAAAAAGACAGAGAGGGGCTGGGCCAAGATATAGACCCCAAGGACCCGCTCCCAGCAACCTACTTCCTCCAGCCAGGCCTCACATCCTAGAGTTTCCAGAACCTCCCAAAATAGCACCACCAGCCAGAGACCAAGCATTCAGCACCTGACCCTGTAGAGGATATTTCATATTCAAACTACAACACAAAAGCTGTCCCAGTTTAGTGAGGGGCTGTCTTAAAAAAGGACACTTGCACTGGGACCAGAAAATTGGGTCAGAACTCCCCAGGAAAGTAGGGCATCCCAGAGAACAAGATGACCATGGGGCAAGGGAGAATGTGGAAACATGAAAGACCTGAAAGAATCCAACTGAGGCTGGTTTAGGGAGAAAGATAAGAGGGCAGAGAGGTACTGGAACCAGCTCACCTGGGCCTTGTAGGCAACATGAGGGAACATGGATTTCACCTGAGGTGCTGTATAGGAAAGCCACTATTTTTAAGCTGACAAAATCCAATTTGCTTTTATAGCTAAAACTTATAGATGCTTTCCCCCTAACAACACTGACAACTAACATTTACTGTGCATTTACTGTGTGCCAGTCAGCTTTCTAAGAATGTTACACGCAATAAACTCTCAATTCTTACAACCTCAGGAGGGTTGTTCTATTATTCCACGTTATGTTTTATAGATGAGGAAACTGAAGTTCAGACATGTTTAAGTACTTGAGGTCCCAAAAGTCATAAGAACCAGCCAGATTTGATTTCTGGGGGTCTGATTACAGGTGCTGTGGAGCCAGGAAGTGTACCAAACACTCTCCCAAAGAATAAGTATGACCAGCTTTAAGGCATTCACAGGCCCCCACATGCATGCCTATTGCCCCTCTGGGTCCCCAGATTCAGAACACCAGGTCTGAAAGTTACACATCCCTGGCACTGTCCCTATCCAGACACATGGGAACCACATGAATGTTGCTGGGGCTGTGCTGGGAGAAGGACCAAGTCTATGTGAATCGAACAAAGTTCTCAGGTTGAAAAGGAGGGCAAGTTTATCCTACATACAGAATTGGGGGTGATACACATTTATTTTTATTAATATTTATTTTATTAATAAACTATTTATTTCATTAATAGTAGCCCTTATCTGGTCTGCAATATAATCCTCGCCCCCGCCTTTTTTTTGAGAGAGAAAGAGGAACCAGGACATGATATACCCTTAAGGGCACATTCACAGTCAACTGGTTCTTCCAACCTGGCCCCACCTCCTACGTTTCTCACCGCCAAAAATACTCCATTCAGCCTGAATCCATCGACGGATCAGTCTATTGAGAAGGTTAGAGCCCTCCCTCATGATCTAATCACCTCTGAACATTGAGAACCAAGTCTTCAACACATGAGCCTTGAGAGACATTTCATATCCAAACCATAACAGAGTTGACATGAAGGCCAAGTGAGGTTGTACGTGACTGTAATCACAGCACCAGGGAGGCTGAGACAGGAGGATTGTAAGTTCAAGGCCATATTGGGCTCCATAGTAAGACCCTGTCTGAAAAAGGAAGGAGTTAAGATAGTAGACATGAGACCACTACCCCTAGAAAGACCAAAAAGGCTGACCCTTGGCTGGAGTCTGAGAACATGGAGTTTGGGGGTGTTCTCAGCATTGACTAACTGGTGAGGGTGGTTTACAGTGCCTAGCATGATTATTCTAATAAGATTTGTGCTGGGCACCAACTTCCCTTCTGTGAGTGTGGAGTTCTGGAATGTGCCAGGCAGAGGGTGCCTGCATGGCTGACTCAAATGTTCAGAGGAACTTCCCCAGGAGACAGCATTTCACATGTGTCATCAAAGCTCATTGCTGGGGGAACTGTGGTGTCCCGTTTGACTCCACCAAGACTCCACTCTTGGAAGCTTGGTTTCCTCTGGACTTTGCCCCAAGCACCTTTCCCTTTGTTGGTTTTGCTTTGTGTTACTGTAAAATAATCCTGATCACAAGTATAACTATGTTCTGAGACCTGAGTCCTCCTGGGAGTCCTGAACCTACAGTTGGTGTTGGGGACCCCAAGCACCATGTGTTTCCTGGGTTGGGAAACATATTTGGGAAAATGCTACAAAGTCCCTCTGCCTCAAAACATCTCTCTCTACTTGCTGGCCATGCTCTTGCCCCCAAATGGACAGAAATTTCAGATCCAGTAGACCCTTGATCTAGGCTGGGTATATCCTTGACCTTTAGGTTTCCTGAGAGAGAACAAGAAGTCCTGTGGGGAAGCGAATGCTGGGAGTCAGCTGGACTCAAACGTTAGTAAATGTATCAGACTCGCAGCAGCATCAAGTCATAGCAACTCAGCAAATTTACACGTTACCTCAAGAGTTGGTTATATACAATTTAAGAGTTAAGTCTTCAAATGCCAGCATCCTTCATACCACTCTTATAAGATCATTTTATGACTATTTTTGGCAGTACTGAGGTTTGAACTCAAGGCCTTGTGCTTGCTAAACTGGCGCTCTACCACTTGAGTCACACCTCCAGCCCAGAAGATCACTTTTAAGATGGTATATTTCTGGAAAGAAAGACAAGTTAGTACTTTGTACTTTCCTGTGGCTGAGCCTTGGAACATAATTTGTGTGTAGAGAGAGCCAAAGAAAGAGAGTGGGGGGAGGGGTAAGGAGAAGAAAAGCGGGGAGGGGGTTCATGGGTTATTGCCCAGTGGCTGCAGGGAGCTGGGCACTTCTCTTACCAAGAGCTGTGAAAGTGTCTCTCTCCAAAGCACAGTTGTTGATTAGCAATGACTTCAATGCAGGTAAAAATCGGAGCCTGCTGAGTAGGTTGTCAGAAGAGCAGCCCATCTTTTTGTTGGCTGATAAATCCAGTTCTTGAAGATTCGAAAGTAAAGGGATAACCTGGGCTATTAAAATATCAATAGTGATGTATTTTAGGCACCATCTCACAGAATCTTCTGGATATGTATTGGGGTTCCATACTCTTCTTTATCTGGCAGTCACAGAGCTCCCCACTATGACCCTGTCCTCCCTTCCACACAATTGCAGACCATGCAAAGTAGCCTTCTCCCCAGTGTGCTTCTTGGGGCTCTCCCCAGATCAGAAGTAAAGACAAAGACTTTGGAGGCAGAGAGAAGTGGGCTGTAATCCTGGCCTGCCAGTTAAAAATTGTGTGATTTTGCACAAGTTACTTGCCCTCTCTGAACCTTAGTTTTCTCAATCATAATACCTGCTTCACAGGATCACTGGGGGGATAAAGCGAGTTGGTCTATGTAAAATGCTTGATCTAGTGCTTGGCACATATTAATATGATATTGCATTCTTAACTGAGAATGTAAGTACCAGTAAAGCAATGAAAACCAGCAATCCAAAGGGTCCCTCCCGGGAACAACACTGGACTGGGTCCTGGGGGGCTCACTGGGCCAGAAGTTACCCCTCGTTCACTACCTTTCTGCTATTTTCCCCACCTCCAGGCATTTGCCCAGCTCTCAGCAAGGCAGGAAACACAGTATCCTGGGATTTCCATGAGGTCGCTCACCTTTTTGGCCACTCAAGCCAAAGTAACTCCTTGGTCACTTATCACATCACCCTACTTTATTTTCATCACAGCACCCACCATTGCATATTTTCCTATGCATTTGTTTTCCATCTTCCCTCCCTGAAGGTAAGCTCTATGTGGGGGATTAATGGGAATCAGTACCTGGAACATCAGAGGTACTAAAGTTTGGGGAAGGAGGGAAAGAGGTCGGGGGAAAGTAAGGAAGGGAAGGCAAGCCAGGTGGACGCCTACAATCCCAGTATGTGCGAACATTTCACCTGCTTTTAATCCCAACAGCACTTTGAATCTCACCATGCAATTTGATTAGGTATTGTTTGTTCCTACTCCTGACAGATGGAAGCTCTGACTAACTGTGCGACTTTTCTGTAGCCCATGACACAGTGCCACATACAGTCAGAGGATTAGTTGATAGTTACTGGCTAAATGATTCCATTTCTCTGAGATATCTGCAGTGATCAGATGAACAAATGTTCCGCTAGCTAATAGCATAGGGTAGAAAGCAGAATGGCACTCCTTTCCATTGTTTCCAAATTAAGCAAAAAGGAGAACAATGCATTTGCTGCAGTTATTAAATAATCCTCAGTGTTCCAAGGCCATTCTCCCAAGTCAGTGGCTGTGGCCCAGATGAGGAAGGCATACCCCTGGGTTGTGCTATGGTGACAATTAATATCCTCTAGCACTGTCATCTTTCCCTAACAAGATCACATGTGGCATTCATGTTACTCTGGCATACCAAGGGACTCTGGGAACCCGATAACTCAGGAGGGTCTCCTTAGGCATGATTCTCAGGCTAGGATAAGTAAAGGGGATGATGGTAGCACACAATGCTCCAGGAGGAGCTCGAGGAGAGATTCGTTTACTTTAAAATCTTCATAACAGCCATAGACACGTCTCATTTTCCCAAGTGAAGGAATAAGAGCCTCAGAAAATAATTTAGCACATCTAAAAGATATTATGTTACACCTATAAACTTACTGTACTGTTTTCTTCCCAAAATAGTAATGAAAACATTGTGTTTATTCTTGTTAGTCATTCATTCACATATTCAACATGTATTTATTGGGTGCCAACTATGAATGGTGCCTGTGCTTGAGCAAGGGGGGAGGCGGGCACTGAACAAGACCCATCCCTGCCTTGGAGTTGCCCATGATCCAGAAGAGAGCAAGAGAAAAGTGTTCCCACCGCTCCACTCCTCACAGAGCAGAGCAAGCCTGGTGTGTGTGAGGCTCGGTGAGGACAGTGTGGCCAGAGTGGGGTCGATGGCAGAAGGGAGGGAAAGAACAAAAGCATAGAGTAATTGGAGCCATTTGGGAGACCACTGATCTCCTTCAATGATCAAGGCATGAGATGGTAGGGGCCTGACCAAGAAAGTAGAGATTTGAATGGTGAGCTGTGATCAGATTCCAGATGTATATTGAAGGTTTATTATGGCCATGGATGGAATAAAACTCTTAATCTCTGTTCTGTTTGCTGGGAAATTGTATTTATATTACCTGCTACAACTCTGGAACTATGTTGGCTGTAGGAAAGTAAGTGTAGTTACCCACAATTGTGATGTACACATTAGGCACAACCTCCTGTCTCTTTTTCTGTAACTTCATTTGTACCCAAGTAGCTTGGATTCACTTGGTAGTTTGAAAGTCTCAATATCCTTCATTTTGATCTTCTCTCTATACATACCTGCTTATAGGTGACTTTGTGACACTAAGATTCATTTGTATTTTTGAGAGGGCAGTACTGGAGTTTGAACTCAAAACCTCACACTTGCTAGGCAGATGCTCTACCACCTGAGCCACCCCACCAGACCTTTTTTGTTTGGGTATTTTTGAGATAGGGTCTCTTGAACTATTTGCCCTGGTTGGCCTCAAACTGTGATCCTCTTAATCTCTGCCTCCTGAGTAACTAGGATAACAGGCATGAGCCACTGGCTCTATTTTTTTTAAAGATTAATTTCTAAACAGTAACATATATTCCAACATTTTTCCTTCAAGTGCCAAACCTATCATTTTCAGATGTGTATAGAAGGGAATGAGACTCACTAGCATTTACAGGACATTCAGTACATGCCAAATACTTTGTTGGAGCATTCGCAGAACTTTGATGATTGGACTTTCCTAATAACTTCATAAAATGTAAAAATAAATGTATAGCTCAAAGTTTCCAAGTTGCAAACATAAGCCCTATTCCAAAACCTTTTCCTTTGCTCTGTGACGTTTACTTACTCAGTGACACCACATCGTTGGTTGTTAGTGAGCACTGGTGAAGATCTAGGACTTCCAGATGTGTTAGCATGGCCAACTGAGCAGGCGTGTCTTCAAACCCTCCACCCAGCTCCTTATTGCAGGAGAGGTCTAATTTCCTCAGCTCACCCAGGTAGCAAAAAGCAGCTTCTATGAAGAAAGTCAAAATCCCATTCTGACATATCACAGGCGGTAGGAAGGAGTGGTGCAAGGAAGGGGCAGCAGTGAAGAAGGAGGCTGAGTGGATTCGCTGTGATGACTAAAGTCAAAAGGAGGATTAACTACAAACTTCCTGCCCAGCATTGGAGTTTATGTAGAATCGTGGGCTTACTCAAGCTGCCAGCGAGACGGATGGAATAGAAGGAGAGAAAGTGATGTAGTTTCCCATGATGAGGACAGTCAACACAGAGGAACAAGTGTTAGCCATCGTCACCACAGAAGGCACTTTTTATCAACACCAATTTCTTCCTACTACTGAGCATAAAATAATGCTGAAGTTTTCGAAAGTAACAGAAAACCACCAGCTTTAGTATCATAAAAACTTTTTTTTGCCCTGTGTCCAGGTATATCATACCTAATATATCCTGGCCTTTTCAGAATTAAAAATAAAATCTTAAGATCAACCATTGTTAACTCACCCAATATTTTGGCACTCTTTTGTGATAATCCACAGGAATGTAACTTCAATACTTTCAAGTTTGAGGTGCTTTTTAAACCCTGAGCAACACTGTCTAGACTGTCACCGATGCTTCCGTTAATGGAAAGGTCAAGTACTTCCAGGTTTTGCAGCTTCGGTAGCAGTTGACCTGGAAGGAAGAAAACCCAAAGGCCAGTAGCAACACTATAAAACCACAAGGCGAGAAGTCAGGGGCAAGTAAGAGGCAGTGAGCTTCTTGTGCTCTGGGGACAATGAGCCGCCCTTTAAATTCAGGGTAAGAGAAAGCACGGCTGACTTAGTGTCCCAAGCTATCGATCACAGCATCTTCACATTTTTTTTTTAATCCAGGAAGGACTCTTCCAAATTCCACTTACCCACAAATGCTCCATCTTCTGACGTAAGGGCACAATCCACAAGCTCAAGCTTCTGTATCTTACTCCCTTTTTGGAAACTGTGGAGAACCAGAGGCAAGTTTCCTCCCACTTTACTATTCCAGGACAAATTCAGCTCTTCAAGTTCAGGTGTAGCTTCAAGTGCTTCTCCTGTTACAAAATGGCCAGAAAATTCAGCTGATCATTTCTCAGAAAAGCAAGAAATTAATTTTGAAATCAGTGCAACCATTATTTAAGAAGAATGGAGGCTGGGGCTGGTACTGTGTTAGGTGACAAAAAACAGAGAGAAGATAAGGACCCAGTTTCTGCCCCTCACAGCTAGATGAGTTTCTGTATTTGCAGGCACAGCAATTCTAATCCCTCACAGCCTCTGAGAGTAGAGGGGCTGCAGTGAGAAAGGGGTGAAACATGGCCGTTTCCTGTCTGAAACCATTTCCCACAGGAAAGCATCCAAGACTAGAGTGGAGATTGGGAGGGAACAGGGAAAGTGCTGGAGCAATCAGTCTTAGGAATGACTTTGACTGCCTTAGTGGAGGAACACACATGAAAATGTACTTCCTCAATGAACAGTGTCAACCATAGCACAATAAAGGACCCTGGAGAATCCCCTGGCTCCAGAAGCCTCTGTGCCACTGCCCACTGCTTGGCAGGAACTGCTACCATTGTTTATTCATTCCATGAGTTAAAGTTTTGGGAGTCCCGGAGTCCCTCACTGAAATGAGTATTCTCCAGGAGTTATAGCATCTTAAATGAACTATGTAGCCCAGGATTGCCTCAAACTCGCAATCCTTCTGCCTCAGCCTCCTGAGTGCTGGGATTACAGGTGTTAACCACAAAACCTGATGTGAGAAGCCATCTTTTAAAGGAAACATTCAGCATACCTATTGCTTGAACATCCTCAGTTGTAAGTCTGCAACAACCCAGCCTCAGGATCTTTAACTTGCTGACAAGACACATTTGGTGAGTGATTGAGTGGAGGGTCCCACCTACTGAATCATTCCAGGAAATATCTAGTTCTTCCAAGTCTGGGAGAAAAGGCAGCATAGACACTAGAAGTGAATAGAAGAAAATGCAGATTTGTATATGCAATGTGATTTGTAGCAAATAGAATTCAATACCTATGTGCACAGGATACAGCTTTGTGCTGTAAGAGAAAGGAAGAGGGTTGACACGCTGACTTTGAGCAAGGCAGGGATCTCTCAACTGTCTCTGGACAGCTGGAGAAATTACAGCATTTAAATTTCTCTGTTTCTTAGGATATTTTTTATTTCTGCCAAATAATTGCATTCTGAAAATAGTGGTGTCTCCACAAGATTCTCTAGAACTTTCTTTATTATAGTTGAACCCAATAGTAGTGGTGATAATTCGGCTTCTGCTCCTACCACTGCTCTGTGATATGCATACCACCCCTTTAATTCTGGAAAACGCTCTGAAATCCTTACTTCTCACCCTATTGGATCCTGAAGGGCCTAACACATGCTTTGTGGACTAACCGTACCTTTTTGTTTCTTTTTTATCTTGTTTACATGGCCATTGGGACCTTATACTTGAATGGACCAAGATCCAGGCTCAGAGCTCAAAGGCGCCTTGTCTGAGTCTCTGTTCATTCAAAGTAAAGTTACTGTCTGTGGCAAAGATACTCAAAGAGCATCTTTATCTCCTGAAGCAACAAGGCTTGAGAGTGGAAATGCCCAAGTAGAGGAGACAAAGCATTTTTGCCTGCTTGCTTCTGAACACCAGTCTTGAAGGCTAAAATGGTGGCAGCCCTGGAAACAGCATTTGGGCACCTGCAGATCCACACACCATAATTCCAAGCCCTCCAAGATTCTGAAACCATGTGACCAGTGAGAACGGTGTTATTTTCCTACCAGTATTCAAAGCACTTAAGCCACTGCACCCCATTCACCAAAATCAAATCTTTATAAAGGACAAAACTCTATTGAATACATAGGGCAAAAATTTCATGAAAGGAAAAGAAAAAACTAGAGCTTGCTTTTCTAGCACCGAACATTGAGGTGACAGCTGTAACCTTCCACTCCAACTTTTTTTTAATGCATGAAGGAAATCAAGCCTCCTTCCTTTAGTAATCTCATTAAGAAAATGCACAGTCACACACAAAATACAGCTCAGTGGTAAGATTTCAACTTGCATCAGAGTCTCATACACTATTAAAATGCACAAACCTGGGGTCCACTCTGAGAGTCTGATCCAGTAAGCTTGGGCTGGACATAGGCAACTGTATTCCCATGTGCTCTGCAAGTGGTTTGGCTACTACAGACACTGGAGAACCACCATATTAAGAGAGGTGTCCCGCATATAACGGTGTGGATTTTAATTAAAACACTGCTGCAGTCTGAATGTGTGCGTCCCTCGAAAATGCATACCTCAAAACCTAATCCCCAATGTAACAGTATTAAGAGGTAGGGCCTTTAAGAGGCGATCAAATTGTGAGGGTGGAGCACTCACAACTGGGATCAGTGCCCTTCGAAAGCAGCTGAAGGGAGCTTGTTTGCCCCTGTGGGATACAGAAGGTACCATCTAGGAAGAAGAGTGAGCCCTCAATAGAGAAAATCAAACTGACTTTGGACTCTTCCTAGACTCCAGAACTGTGAGAACTAGCTTCTATTGTTTATAAATTACCCAGTCTAAAGTATTTTGTTCCAACAGCTCAAATAGACTAAGACAACTAGTTAAGGACCCCTCACTCAAAATGCAGTTTTCCTGATACCTCTCTGTTGGCAGATACGTACAATCTGATTCAAGTTTTAATGTACTGAGAAACAGTAAAAGAGATGGTGTGGGGAGGGGGGTTCTTCCAGCCAAACTTCTGCTCAGGTGTAAGAAGTGTAGGCATACTTTTTGTTTATGAAAGGTGTAAGCAATAACTGCTGGAAGTTATTCTTTTCATTCCACAATAATAAACAACATGATACTCCTTCAAATTCCCAGCAGGGCTCCGTTTTATGGATGAATTTTATGAGTTTGCATCATCTGCAGGAACAGATGTTTCCCAAGAACGAAGAGGCACTTACTAGGTAGCTAAAATTGCTTAGGATAAAAACAAATCAATCTCCTACACTCAAGCTTGAGGAAGAATCAATCAATTTATTTATTTATTATAAATGATGGCACAGCTGGCTTTTCTGAGACTGACCAGGACCACTCAGAAGACTTTTGAATATGCCTAATCTGCATTCCCTGTACAAGGTCAACTGTACACAGACCTACTTCCCCGATATCTGCCGCTGTCAGTCCACAGTTATTCAAGTCTAGACACTTGTCCACAGCCTTTTTGCCCAGCTTCTGTGAGAATTGATCATTTTTCTCCGTCCTGGATCCCAAATCCATTTCAGAACCGAGAGCCTCAGCTATATAAAAATAAAGAAGAATTTGCTGTCAGTGACAGATTACATTGAAGACTGATAATGACCCTGACTGGTTCCTTTGTGAAGCCTCACTTCAGAAGGGGAAGCAGTGACTGGGGACAAACCTTGAGCACAGTTCCTAATGCCATGTGCTCAGACACAGGCCACTGCAGAACCTGGCCTGCTCTGGGCCTCTCAGCGTGAAGATGGGGTTGGGTGCCTGGGCAGCAGTATTTGAGATGCTGGCTGCTTAAAGAACACAGATCCTATGGTAAGTGCAGTTAATAGGAGAAGGCACAGTGTTTGCCTCTAAAAGCCAAACAAGTAAGGAGGAGAAGCATTGAGATCACCATTAATGCACTTCAGATGGCCATGAGGCATGATTAAAATACTTGCTGGTTGTGGGCCTGGCATGGTGGTGCATGTCTGTAATCCCAGCTATCTGGGAGGTAGAGATCAGGAGGATTGCTATTCAAGGCCATCTGGGCAAAAAGTTTGTGAAATCCCCTCAACAAACAAGCTGGGTATGATGGTACATACCTGTAATCCAATCTGGCAGGAGGTGGAGGTAGGAGGATCATGGTCCAAGGCTGACCTGGGGAAAAATCAAGAGACCCTATCCAAAAAATAAAGCAAAAAGGGCTGGAGAGTGGCTCAAGCGACAGAGCACCTGCCTCACAAGTGCAAGGCCTCTGGTACCATAAAAAAAACCCACAAAAACCCCAAAGCAATACAACAACAGCAACAAACCAACTTTCTGGTCAGATCCTAGACCATTCAACTGACAAACACAAGTCCAGAGAGACTATTGTGTGGGGACCTTTTGTAATTTCTCAACTCCTGTCAGAAAATGCCTTCAGAACGCCTCATTTGTCTTCCTGTTAGTAGGGTCTACTTACGTGGTACCTCACCAGGTTTCTCTGTAATGCCACCATACTACAGTGTCACCATAATAACAAAAGCTATGATATCATTCACACCTCTTACATACCAGTTCTTCCGTAAGACACATGTGAAACACGTCTCAGCCATGTACTGACAGTGACTTTAAAGTGGTTTTGTTAAGATGTATAATTTTTTTTGGCAGTACTGGGGTTTGAACTCCGGGCTTCACACTTGCTAGGCAGGCCCACTACCACTTGAGCCAAACCTCCAGCTCCTTTTGCTCTGGTTATTTTGGAGATAGGGTCTCACTTTTTGACCAGGTCAGCCTGGAACCGAGATCATCCTATTTTAAACTTCCTGCCATCCCTGATATGACAGATGTGTGGCACCACTCCCAGCTATTGGTTGAGATGGGGTTTCATGAACTATTTGCTTGTGCTGGCCTCAAACCATGATCCTCCTGATCTCAGCCTCACAAGTAATGAGCAGACATGAGCCACTGGTGCCCAGGGAAATGTGTAATTTTAAACATACAGAAAGAATATATTGAAATCCATTAGAAAATTTTAAGTTCCAAATGTGCGGTGGTATTTTACTAACTCTGACAAAAAATGGCTAGGAAGAAATACATAGGTACCAGTAGATTGAAGTAGCAATAAGTTTAGATTAAAAGATTAAAAGAATAATAAAATTTCATTTTTCTATAGTGGCTGTTTTCATTAAGAAACCCACTACAGGTGGTGCACATCTATTAGGATGGTTGGTGTTACCATATTTCACCAGTAGGAGGCAGCACCATCCACCATTTTACCTTTTTACTCTGGCCTGCAAATGTTTATTATGACATTGGATACAAGGTGTTTTATTTGGGGTAGTGCACTCAGATTTATGAAAAACAAAAATAGGATGCCTGTTTGATTCAAATTTCAGATAAACACACATGATAAAAGCAAGAGCACACAAGGGAGATATGAGGAAAGGTAAGACACCTAAAAAATTAGTTAGCATTTGTTGCCCTCAATGCAGAGAAACTAAAGCAGATACCTTAAAAGCAATTGAGGCCAGTAGGAAAAGGGGACCAGGAACTAGAGAAAAGGTTAGATCAAAAAGAATTAACCTAGAAGGTAACACACATGCACAGGAAATTAATGT